GATACTGCAGATTTCTCAAAGAAACTGTCTTCCATTGACAAGCTTCCAGATAACATCGTGTTAACTACCATAGATATCACATCTCTATACACCAACATCCCTCAGGAAGACATAATACAAGCCATAAAGAACATTATCCCCAATGAGAACATTGTTTCTATTTCTGTTGTATTCTCTTGCTTTGTCCTCACACACAACTATTTCAGGTTTGGATACTCCCTATACCCACAAAAAATGGCAGCGCCCTGGACACATGTATGCATACATGTATGCACCTCCCTGCCAAAGATGTCAACATATTTATGACAGATCCTGATGATATCTTCATCATATGGACACATGGGAAGTTATTGCTAGAAAAACGTCACCACAACTTTAACAATTTCTACCTCTCCATTCAAACTATGCTGGAACACTCCACAACAGATTTATTTCCTAGACACTACAGTGAAAGTTTTCAATGGCCACCTTACCACCACCAGTACCAACCTATTGCTACAGTTATCTTCACTGTATCCCATTACTTGCATTAGCTTTTATGACTCCTTTGGTCCTAATGGATTTACTGCTTACTTGTTTGTCTCTCCCTGCTTCCTTTTCTTTCTGTTTTTTGTATTCAAATCTCTCTCTCTTGCTTTGTGCACACCCTTACATTATAAGAAAAAAAAAACAACAAACAAAGCAGCAACAATGTTTGGTTGCTTGTGAATGTACACATATATAATATCTGTTTAAGATGGGTTGTGTTGTATGGGCTTACAAATATTATTACTGTTAACATCTTAACTAGTTAGTATTATATATTGCCCAAAAGGCTTTACTATGTTAGGCATAGTGAACATACATACTACAAGAAAGTCTTTGTTCAAAAGAGCTTAAAGTCTAAATAAAGATAACAGAATAGTATTATTATGAGTAATATTAGTATTTTAATTGAATGCAACACACAAGGAAAAACAAAGGAGGGTCACAAAGACCATCTGAATCAGAATCAGTAATTGAACCATGATCTTCATACTCTCTGGGTGTGTCTACGTGTTCATTAATGTGCCATAATTATGGCGCATTAAGTTTAATACCTGTAATAACAGATGCTAACTTAATGTGCCATAATTGGTGCTACTGTGCATTAGTGCAGGCATATGCTGTTTTGTGATGCTAATGCACAGTAGATTAATTCTACTGTGCATTGGCACGGTTTTTGCCTGCTGCACTGAAGTTTAGTAAATTAGTCTACTGTGTATACAGCAGCTTGTGTAGACATGCCCTCTATTCAGTGCCTAAACTGCAAGATCATCCTTCTCCATGTCACATATGAGACAGGTGACAATCTCCAGCGTATGTCCCCCTAGTACAAGCTGGCTCCTAAGTCTCCAGTGTGTTTATAACTTAATAGAGATGGGTGGGAGCATGGGCAGTTCTAGGATTTTGAAAAGTGGGGTGCAGGTGTGTTGTGCATCATCCAATAATATAATGCATATCTTTCTCTAATTAAAAACAAACAAGAAACTTTACTAATACTCCAGGGGCCTAGGGCTGTACTAATTCAGTTTCTGATCCAAATAAAAACTAATATAACTGAGTCGGGGGGGGGGAAGAGGGGGACAAGGCTACCACTGGTTTCGACCTACTTCAGCTACCAGCACCTTTACACAGTGGGACCAGTGATGCTTACTCACCCATGCCCAGCTTCATGCTTCTGGTTGTGCCCTTATTCAGCCTCCCATAGCTCCTGCCACCTACTTATCAATTTAACTCATCTTTGCAACTCCTTCCTGCCTCTACTGTGCCACCTCATAGCTCAACCTACTTTTAACACTGCCTCTCGCCTCCCTATCTCTGGTTGGTTGTCAGATTGAATCCCTTAGCCACCCAGTATGGGTTTCTAAGTAGCAGCACACCTTTAGTGGATGTGCTGGGAAGGGGGGATGAGCAGAGAACCATTAACCAAAATATAAAACAAACAGAATAATTCTAGAGAAAAGCTAACTTCATTAGAAGGGGTTGTTAATATCTATGGTGTGAAAAGATTTGCAGAAATCAAGTAGATAATAGTGAGACATAAAGTCAATGGACTCACCCAACTCTGCCTCAATAGACTTGTGGCCATCCTCATAAGGCAGTTTGCTTTAACTTTTCATTGAAGCAAGAAACAAAGGGGTATAACCACATGCCCAACCTCCCCTCCTCCCGGTACCCCCAGAACGACCACTGGGTGTTTTCTTTTCTCTGCTCTACCTTGACATCTGTTCTTAGGCTACTGCCCAGCTACTTTGATTAATTTTTGTGTTCAACTGTCTTTGTTTGGCACCTTCAGGCTTAGGCAGCAAAATAAATAAAATTAATTTATTTTTTAACTTTAGAAAAATAGGCCAAAAATACCAGTTCTTGACAATCTTTATTTTATGCTATGCACATTTTAGCCACTGGATCTTTAGGCATTGTTTCTGTTGGACTCTGATGGAAAGTGTTTAGAAGTTTTTTATTATTAAAATACTATTTCCAGTCATAGGGGCACCCCTAATCCTGTCGCTATATTTCTTGCACCAATCAGAATAATGGCATTGTATTCTGTGAGGTTAAGGCCAGTCCCATAGCTAGTGAGCTGTGTTGAAAAGAATTGCTTTTTGGGGATGTATTTTAGTATGCTAGTTTGCCTGAAACTGCATTCAAAAGAGGAGAACACACAAAAGACAGAAAACAAAGAGCATGGATAATCTATGAGGAAGGTTGAAGCTCTTCAATGAGCTGACTAAAGCACTGTTTTGTTGCAAAAAAGAAAAGCCTACCTCTGACACAGTGCTTTTCATACAAAGATCTCAAACCACTTTAAAAAACAAAAGTTTTTTTTGAGAGGAGTACCTGCAGCGAGTCTGTTCACATTCAACATTAGGAACATGAATAAAAAATTGATAATGCATAGCTAGTGTAGCAAAAGTGTTTTAAACTGCTATCTTTTGTAGAGTGGCATCCATCAGAAAGAGAGGAACTAATGAGATCCTGAGAGGGAAATCAAGGAAACAACATGCTTCCTGCTTAAGCATATTCCCAACAAATACTATATTTTTCTGTAGCTGCCACTACAGGAATGAACAACTTTTTATTAATAGCAATAATGCATTGAATCTCCAGTTGTTCTAAATTGTATTATTTTAGCAGGATTTGGCAAGTTTTTTGGAAATTGGTATATATAGAAGTTAGTACTCTACGGTGTGCTACTCTACAGAGTAGAAATATTGAAATTACATATAAGGAAGACTGAGACATTATATTTACAGATGTTCCCATACTGTATGGTTCTAACACATGCTTATATATCTCAAATGAAACCCTGAAAGAACTGTGTACAGGGTGGGGAGACTCAGGTCTTACGGTATGGTGATTCCCATAAGAGAAAAAAAGAGGTAGTTAAAACTGGAATGTTGCACTGCCTTTTCCTTTTGCTGTTGTTTTTATCTCACTTAAAATATAGACAGACCTGAAAATGTTATCTGATTTAAAAAGCAATTATGGATGAAAACTATAGTCTAACAAAAAGTTGCCTGATAAAAACAGCATATTTTAAAATTTTATCTGATTTTATCTTATTAGCAAGGACACTTGCTACTAAGTTGTGGGGTAAGGTAAAACCAACACCCGTGGTAAAGGTCAGGTAAAACCAACACATCCCACCAGAGCTGTGGTAAGTGGCTGGGCTTCCCAGCCTTAGGCCTCTTCCATGAACGCATGCAAGTGTTTACTAGGCTGGTTTAATCCTTGCTAGATTGGGTTACCCCTTGGTTGATCTGAAGTTCATTCACCTCTGATGTGGACTAACTTTAGAATGGGTGTGCCATTTTTAGGATGATTCAGGATACTGTACATGAAAGCACAAGAAAGAGCAGCATATTTTCCTCTGTAAATTTTCCTTGCTATGCTAAATTAAGCAAAATAATAACAACAGGGACAAACCATGCATTAGAAATAGTTCAAAAACAGCAGGGTGGAAGGAGGGGGAATAACAAGCAATGTAGTGTCTATTAACTAACACTAAATTACAAGGGAATACTTATGGAAATAAGCATAAGATCCACATGCATGCCAAATGAATCTGTTATCAGCAACACCACAAGGAAATTCACCAACATGAGTTCAAAAGGGGGAGTCACTTAAAATAAAGGATATTTTCATTTTAAGTGTCCAGCTATTAGTTTCATTTGCGGCACATTTAATTGCTTGTATCATAATGAATTAATTTCACAACCATACAAATATTGTATGTGCTTTCCTTTATCATCAAGTCTTAGCCAAGTGCACTTAAATGGATACTTAACATCAAACATTAGCATAAACAATTAAAGAATATATTCTGCTTTTGAAACAATAAACCAAAGGGTTTTGTAGAACTTATTGTTTCTTGTGATTTTACTGGTTCTGTAGAAATGTTTTCTAACTGATACTTTTGTTCATATCAGATAGAAGTTAAAACATATATTCTTTAGGTAGTTAGAATTTTTTGACTGTTTTTACTATATCAGAAAAGCTAGATTGCAGAAAGATAAATTTGCATATTTTCTAATACAAGATCTCAATATTAATACGATGTGGCCCTCCTGGCATCCCCATATTACAAAGCAGTTCTATTCCTCTCTATTTGCAGGACAACAGGCTGCACATAATATTTCAGCTTACTCTTGCACAGAGATTAACTGAAAAGAAGCATGCCAAATCCTAAAACCTCAATTTAGGAAAGTCTCTTGCTGGTTTCAGTAAGTAAAGTCTGATGTGAAGACTGCAGGATACAGCTCAAACTTCTGAATACCTTTATAGAGAAAATTTTAAATCAAATTTGCCTTGTCCTCTGCCTAACCTCTTTTCTGAGAAACAGAATCTGATAGGAAACCACAGAAATCTGACACTGTGAAAACCAATTTAAGGAATAAGTATACTATAGGTTAACAGTTCAGATAATTCTGAATCTAGCAATATGATAATTAAGTAATATTCCATTCTCAGCCTACCTGGGGTGTTCAGTAGTCTTGACATCTTGCAGGAGTAAGAAATGTACTGCTCACAGTACTCAGCACTATTGGTGATGGCAGAGATCTGATCCATGGTGGCACTGTAATTAAGTTGCAGTACAGAGTACTTCTCTGGGCTGTTGCCTACCACAGGAGCCTGCATTTGCAAATCATGGTTCACAGTTGTCCACACTTTGTCCTCTGGAAGCAAAAAATGGACAAGAAAAGAGAACATAAATTAAACTAATTCTTGTTGTGTTACAGAAGGATAATACTTTGACTTGTTAGTTTATCTGCATTGGGTCCACATGTGAAAGAGAATAGGGCGGGCCGGGCAGACCTTTGATAACCACAAAGCAGAATTTTACTTGGAACAGCTAAACAACCTAGGATGAGTGCACTAACATGACGAAACTTTGGTTGGATTCTTTGGTGTTATAAGGCCAGCACACTATGCTTGTGGGAGTAGTCACTGATACAAATAGCAATCCCTGAGACAAACAAGGATTAGCTTTGATCAGAACTGGGTTAAAAGAACAGGAGGCCTGAGGCTAGAGAGATTTAAGGATTTTTACTGCAAGGAAAATTCAAGTTTACACAGTTTTACTTTGCTGTAGGTTACTCTGTGACCCTGTGATATTAGAGACACGCTGAATTATAATGGGATTACATACATTTGTTCTTTGAAATGGAATGACTGTGGTTTATTAGAAACTACAGCAGTCATAGGCTTCCTGTGGTTTCTTGTCCCTGGGCTATGTCCCAACTGGTCCAAGCTTACCTCTGATCTGGACTTGATGAACTATTCAAAGACAGAACCATGCTGGCTCCTTTAGGCTAGTGGCCAAGATATGCATCTCAAGGTAGGAAACAATAAAGTGGGGAAAATTTGTGAAACTTCAGGGTTTCATTCGGGTTAGCAAAACATGACCAAGGGGAAAGAGAGAGTTTCTCTACACTTTAATCAGGAGAAACACAGCAATGAAGCCTGAACCCACCCACCAACAACTTTCTTGGTGCACATGAAAAAGGAACATAATCCAGTAGCCTATAGCTAGCTGTCTATCTTTTAAGCCTCTATTAGTTATGTGAACAGCAAAGCACTAGAGGGAGCATTACTGCAGCACCTTCTTTGAAAGTCAAAACAGAATGTCCATAATAGCGAAATAACAACATGCTTCCTTATCAGCAGTTTTGCAAAGCAGTGAAGGGCCCCATACAACACAAATGTAGATCAGAAAGGAAAGAAATAATAGCAGACATATTACATTTATATAAAATAATGAACGGGATAGAAATCTAGTGCTTGGACTTGCCTATACTCAGGGGTGAGTCAATGACATTTTGAAAAGTATACTTTTATAGGAGATATATATTTATTTCCTTTTAAAGCAGGGGTGGCCAACCTGTGGCTCTGGGACCACATGCAGCTCTTCAGCAGTTGATATGCGTCTCCTTGAATCTTTGCACAAGCACACGCTGACCAGCTTCCATTTGGTGAAACTGTAAACTTGAATTTTCCTTGCATTTGGAAGCTGGTCAGCGTGTGCTTATGCAAAGATTCAACGAGACACATATCAACTGCTGAAGAACTGCATGTAGCTCCAGAGCCACAAGTTGGCCACTCCTGCTTTAAAGCAATACAATTTGTGCACCAACTTTTGTGAATTAAATCCATTCATGTTCAGGCATCTCTAGTAGTTACTTCTTCTGGATCAACAGCTATTCTCTGACTTAGGCATGAAGAATTGTTTGTTTCAGGTAACAGCATCACAAAGGACTATCACATTTGCTGCCTTTTAGTAGTTTTGTCCATTTATGCAGAGTGGTTGGGATAAAAATAGGCAAAGGAACACTTGTTCCTTGAGGTGGTTCTTCTATATCAGGGTTGAGGATTGATAATAACTAAAAGACAAAAATATTCTGTTCTGGTCTATTATTAATTTTACCCTCATCACTACAATATCCATATGCTTTCCAGAAGGGCATTCACCAATGTGACTAACATTTGTCCTTTTTCCTCCTCAGGGAAAAAGGTGACCTTATTTGATTTTCTTTCTGCTGTGCTATATACTTTCATTATTGAAAACTAAGCCAAGGAAATGTGTCTTGTCCTTGAAGAGACATTTTGAGTTTTTGAGGCAGATCGTAGCACCTCTGAAAGTTCATTCCAGAGTCTTACTGTCCCCCAAGAATGGTCTCTCCTCTGGACAGGTTGTTTTCCCCCTTGTACTTGGCCTTGAGCAACAGAATTTCTGACCATGGTCTTTTTCTCAGAGATTCAGATAACAACTTGCAGGTAACTGATACTGCTGCTGCATATTCTGTTCCTGTTTTCTAAGTAAATACAGAACTTCAGTCTCTAGAGAGGTCATTTGGCCTTTTCCAAAATACTGAATTCCTTCAACAGAGCAGATGTGCCATACAGTAATAGAAGACATTAACTTTAGGAATGCAAGCCAATCTGATGTAGATTCATTTGTGTGTATTCTCATTCCCATTAATGGTGTCACGTAGCTACATCTGAACAAACAACATTTAAACACCACATTTATAAATATCTCAAATAAATACCTGAAAATGTTCTGAGCAATGCAGGCCTGTTTCAAAGGTTCCCAAAGTACAGAGAAAAGTTCTTAGTGATTTTGAGGAGTTATGGATTGGGCACCAGGGCAAAACAGTTAACCACTGATGGTATGATTATTCTTATTACCAACCTTTTGTATTGCTGCTTCATATTTTAGTCACATGTTATTACTGCATTGTTTCTGGAAATCATATTTAGAAATTTGCTTTTAGAAATTGGCTTTTAGATAAAGTAATCATTGCGTTAGAACAATGCCCCAGGGGATACGGCATGGATTAATTGGTTGTTAAAGTACAAAGTTTCACATTCACAGCCTTCAAGGCAGACACCATGTCCAGAGCCAACAGACAAGCAGGCACATATCCTGGGAAACTGAAAACATACAAATATCATAATAAAGATAGGGTCCTGCAGCACTGGCACCAGGTCATAATGCCCAGCTGCAAAGTCCCTGGGATTTCTGGTTTTAAGTGGAATGACCAAATTAAGACACTAGCAAATAACCAAATTAAGGAGTATGCATGTGATGGGTTTATGGAGATAGACTTTTGGTTGATAAAACAAAATGTGGACAGAATGACAACTACAGGGAAACCAATCACCAATGTCCAGAAATGAAGAGTCATCAAGGAAAAAAGAATACAAAAGGAGGAGTTTCCAGAACAACAAGTTGGTGTCAGCCCTCAACCTCCAAGGCTGCTGCTGTCTGACATTCAAACAAAGAACCACAAGGTGGTGGTCATGTATCGGCTAGGTGCACAGCTCTCCCTATGAACCCCCTGGGACTGGAAAATAATTGCTATTGTATTCTGTAATCATCTTCTTGCTTTGACTGCATTGGTCTTATTTTCTATCACTGTGTATCAATAAAATTTGCCTATTATCAGATGGATGGAGTTGTGGTGGGTCTGAAGGTTGTCCTCACCTGAAACAAGGTATCAAGACTGGGTCATAAATCCAGTGCCAACAATTATGAGGTACTGATATGAAATCATGTGAATGTAAATGATACAGTATAGATGGTTCATCTGCTCAGAAATACAGTAGATAAAGGAAATGGACTCTCCACAGGGAGCAGAAATAGTTAGACAAACAAGATGAAGTTCAGATGGTGGGTTGAGATAGTGATTATATTAATATTTCATAACCCTCCTCCAAAGCTGTATGTCCAACAATAATATTGCACCAGTACGAGTAGTACAAGTGTCTGTGTATTTCTCTAATCCACCTCCAGAACACTCAGGAGGATTTTTCTTTTTATGCCAAATAGACATTTAGCTATTTCCTACCAGTTTACATGTTGTAAAATGTAACAATATGTTGTTGAAGACTTGGGAGGAAAAATTACTTATACCAATTAGATACACTTCATTTAGTATATCATATTAAAACAAGGCATATCAACTTTCCCATTTTGCCTCTATGATAGAATACACAATGGAATGTGCTGTGCCGCATTTTCATGGAGGAGTTTAATACAAAGAACTACATATTCATTGTCCTACTGCAGCTCTAATTAAGGTTGTGCCCTACCAGACATCAACTATCCTGATTCTAATGACCTTTCTCATAGGGGCCTGATCCCACTCCAGTTATGTTTGGACAAAGACACACAGGTGACTTTAATAGTGGAAATTGGATTGGGCACTATATCCAAAAACAGCACTGGATCTCCTGCACTGGATTCCAGCCAGTGCAAAACTGAAGCATTCCCTTAAAGGGAATTTTAGAGAAGCTCAGGCTTGTAGGTCCATCCAGAAGGATGCACTTATATAATCAGGTCTGTGTGGGCTACAGAGGAAAGCAGCCAACCTGACTGTGAAGAAAACACCCGATGAGAGTCCAGGTAAATAGGATGGGAAGCCTTAGAGAGAGAAATGTTGATGTGGCATATCAGGTTCTTTGTTTAATATTAAAAAATACTGTCTTGCATGGCATAATAAACAAACAACTGTTTGCTAACAGTATCTGCAGATCCAATCCAGTGTACGTTGGAGAACGAACATTTCCCTTCAAATGGACCAATACTTCTTTCCTCTAGAAAGGCAGAATCTCTCATATAAACAAGAAACATTTTTTCAGAAACAAAAGGCTCAGAACTGAGAGGGGCATGTTTTTTAGGATATGACAAATAACAGATTCTGATTACTTTTTGCAAAAACCAGTGCCATTAACATTTGTGGCAGGTTTTTATTTTGGAGAAGGAATTCTGCCTGCCTACCTAAGTTTCCTATAACATCTGAACTGAGTTAATTACGCTTTTCTTCCTTCTCTTAAAAACTGTGCTCGAAAATGTCTGCTGTTTCTTCTCCATCAAAGATGGAAGAATCTTGCTACATGCATCCCCCAAGGCACTTAGGATCTTCGTCATGCTATACAAGCAAAAAACCACTAATATACTGCAAAGGTAGGCATAACTGCCATATTTTCTCACATGCATGTGTGCAAAATTCTTTAGAAATAAAGTTATATCTGGAAGACTGCAGCTGACTGATTAGTATACCTGGCTGAGTGACTTAGCATAAAATTTGCTGCCTCTCTAGGCAGCGTAATGGCTTCTTTTAGAACGACATGATGATAAATTACAACTCTGGGAAAACTATGTAAAGGGCAA